AAAAACGAGGCGGGCACCACTTCTAAGGTTCTAAGATAGTCGCAGGAAGACCCCTAAGGCTAGATCCTAACTCCTACGAGAAATACTAGACCTCACAAAAATTGAGGTCAACACACTATCTCAGTGTTACTTGCCTTGATATCATATACACTGTTAATTTTTTTAGCCAACACGCGCGAAATCCCAACCCTCTTTCATCAACATCACTAAAAACGCCAGCTCAAATATCTCAATGGTACCAAATCTCACGGCTTCCCATTCAAGAAGGCCTTCTCACTTCATATGCATATTATGATGCTGACTGGCTGGTGATTCAACGAACTGAAAAGTTACTGCAGGTTTTTGTATATATGCATATTATTTCACTTCACGAAACTGAAAGGCCTTTCAGTGAACTGAACCATAGAGTTTTCCCATTCAAGAAGTGAGAAGTGAAGTGAGAAGGCCATTCAAGAAATGTGAAAACTCTAAACTGAAAGGCCTTCTCACTTCACTTCATATGCTTCAGTTGAGGTTTTTGTATATATGCATATTATTTCGTGCTTCAGTTGAGGATTTACCCAATCTTATTTTGTGGTCCGCCCAAAATCAATCCACGGTAAGCTAAATCCTCAACTGAAGCAGAATATAGGGCTATTGCTATTACTACCACAACTGCTATGGTTTCGAAGATTCTTACATGAACTTACAAACGCTAACATTTCCTCCACGGTCCTCTACAGCGCAGCACTTAGCTATTGCGCTTGCTCATAACCCTGTGTTGATCAATTCACGCTTGTACGAAGCATATAGAGGTGGACTATCATTTCATTCGTGATCATATCAAATTTCAACACATCTCTACATCATTTAATGTTAGAGGATCAAAACGCCGATATCCTCACGTAACCTTATCTCTCAGTCATCTTCAACGGCTCGATACCAAACTGATGATTCAACCCATCAATCATCACTTTGAAGGGGGTAACTAGGATTCATACCTGATTTTGCCGAGTCTCCATCGATTGTATTTATCATCTATTTACAAGAAAAAAACATAATTTGGGAAAACGCACAAGCTGGGGGAGAATAAATTTCACCTCCACAAAGAAGATTACAAAGTTGAAATATCATGGAATTATCATATATGCAGGCATCTATAAAAGTGACCCAAAAAAAAAAATAGAGGTCCATTTGTGCACATTAGTCGCACTAAAGGAAAGCCCAACAAAGTTTAATTTGCTAGACTTAAAAATGTTATAAATGCCTTCTAGAGTTAAAAGCATGAAGTTCTATCAGCTTCGTTGTTCTCTAATTGAAATCTTCTTTGATTTACTTCCACTTATGGATGTTCTTACTTATGATGGTTCGTGAATGCATCTCACAAGCGTTGAACATGTTATGCTGTTAATATTAAATGATGCTTCTACAATAGGAAATTTCAGCTTCACTCAATTTTCAATTTCATAGTCATTAATAAAAATGTTTTTATTTCTTATTTTCATCTGCATTCTTTTATCATTTTTACTCGTGATGGTTATTATGGTTCTGAGTGCCAATATGGTTCCTAACTATTTACAAGGGATCGTTTTAGTCGTAGAGTTTATAGAAGTGTTGAAGCAGTTCAATTATTTTAAAATTGAATTCTAATACTTCCTGGTGTGGATTATTTTAGCCCCAATTTAAAGAGGGTGGTGATTATTTTAGCACTTAAGATAGCCTCACATAAATAGTTGGGAATTAGTGGGTAACACTTTACTCTTATTTTTATATTTGTTGGTAAAGCATGCTTGTCCTATAATTATGTGCAAACTCATAAATCCGAAAAATTAGGAGTGTGTGGTGTTTTATTTTCAAGAATGACAATTTTTTTTTGCAGTTCTTGGTTGTTGGATCCCAGAGGAAAACTTGGCAGCATCCAGAACATTTTTTGCAGTTATTGGTTGTTGGATCCCAGAGGAAAACTTGGCAGCAGCCACAACATGAAAATTTAAGGTACCGTTGGGACTTCTTGCGTCACTTCTTTATGCCTTGTTATATGTTATATAAACTTTATGATTAAGGTTTGTTAACAGAAATTTGCTAAGGAATTTTAAACCTGGATGCCATAGAAAGCATCAAGTACGCATAAAAACATGGCTCTCTTTTTACACACTTCTATTTACTCCTTATAAAGTATATGTAATAAGAATCATGATTTGTTGTATTTTTAGATGTCATGTAATGCACATGGGACATGGGGGTATATATAATTATATGGTCCTGTTAGAATAGAGATTCAGTGAGTTTTAAGTGAGGATGTTGATGAAGAGGATGAGGACTTTATTCGTTTTATATCTGATTTCTAACTTCTCGATTGCTGGTTTTTGAAAGGTCAAACTTTTGGTTCGCTGGTTTCGAATTTTGACTTGTCGACATTTTGAGGCGGCCACCAGAGAGCTCCTCCGACATTTAAGGAGGATACGTTTACGAGGGCGATGTGTCTGCTTAGATCGATTTGAGCCACATCTTTGGTATCAAAACGTCACCTGCAGGCCTGTGGTCTAGGAAGGATTGCCAAACAAACAAGGGCTAAAATTGAACCAAATGGTATCTTCCTTCTTCTTTTTCTTTTTGTCACTTTGATAAGTTACTAACTTGAAGGTTAAATAATGCGACCAAATTTTGTGGCGTCAACATAGGCAGGGGACTTAAAAATGTTCTTGATTATGAGAAGATCGCACGTTTGGATGACAGTTTAGATGGGTTATGGTATGATCCATAATGGCGTGGCAGTATTTGAGTCATCATGTGGGCGTGTGGTGGGCTGCTTTGAATAATTTTTCTTTAATGAACCTATACTTTTCTTTTTTACCTCTCTAAAATGGTCAGAAGTGAAAGGAAAACAAAAATAATGAAGAATATGAAGCTAAATGTTAGATATGAATTGTCTTAATTATTATGGATTTATGGGCCGTGATTCAATATGAGAAGAATAGAAGATATTTTTACAATATTGTATGATTACAATATAAATAAATATATTATTCTGAATGTATAAATGTTTGAATAAAAATCCAGAAAAAGTTGTACAAGGTTAGTGGAAGAACCAGTTGCAAAAACATCTAGGCAAGTTAAGTAATTTTCAAATAGAAAATGTATCCAGATGAAAAAACATTTTTTTTACATAAATATTATTTATAATTACTTTTATCATATAACAAAATATTTATCTTAGAATTATATCTGATAATCAAACAATTATAAATTCTTTTCACATTAAAGCCTTCCAAATTAAAGTTGTTTTTAGAACTCAGTATTTTTTTTTTCTCTCTTGTTTTGAAGCCATTCCAAAAATTGGGAGCAAAAAAAAATTCAATAAAACTCTCATTATATATATCTAAATAAAGCAAAACAATAAAGAGAAATTAAAAAAATAAAATTTAGTCAGATACACTATCAACAACCTCGGAGATGCTTGTGGAGCATCAATTAAGTGTCTATTTGGGATAGTTTATTTGATGCAGTGGTGTTTTGAAAACGTACTTGGCATGTTTGGGTAAACTGTGTTTTGGCAACTTGTGTGTTTTGGCAGCGGTTTCATCTTTTAAAAAAAATAAAATTTATAATAGCCACCGCACCTAGCTTATTATTAAATTATTTTTAATTAGTTTATCAGCATATTATTCAATAAGTTGTAGTTGTTCCAAAGAGACTTTTAATTAGGATGACATTAGAAAGTTTCAAAATATTACAATTAATATAAAAAAATTGAAGATATATTAATAAATAGAAAACGGGGCGTTTACATACATACAACCCTATACATATGTATTTATATATCAAACACCTAAACCTTATTTTTTTAATACCACTCAATTCTTTCATATTACATCAAAAATACCTATTTTAATTTTTAAAAAATGAAATATACATTTCCATATATAGAAAAGGTGGTATATATACAAAAATTGAGCTTTAAGTGTTAGATATATAAATAAATATGAATTAAGTGCTATACATGCAAATTTTAAAAAAAAAAACGAGCTATTACACACTATAAAAGAAAAAAAGTCTAAGAATTAGTAGCTAATTGAAGTGAGAGTTGAATTATTTAGGTCACATGTAGGATCAATATTATTTTCAAAAGCTTATTTGTTTAATATATTATTGACATATTTTTGTCTTATTTTTTTAGATAATTTGAATTTATTTAAAATAAAAATATCTTAAATAAATATGTCAAACATATTATATTTAAAATTAAAATTGAAATAAAATAAAAATAAAAAATAGATACTAAAATATAGAAGCCGTACCAATAGGCCCTTAGTGTGTAAGGTTTGTAAAGGAGTTGGTAGAGAAGTAGGAGATTTAAATTATTAGGCTTCGTTTGGCGTCTGTTCTGTTGGAAGAAAGGTTGAAACAGGTAGACGAACGTCTCAAGCTATATATATCCTTGTTTAACATTAATCGTGTTCGTGTCATTGACACGAACCGTTGTTGTCGTGCATCTGCATTCTTCGCATTGACTGAAGGAGAGGACATCAAAGTGAAAGCAAAGCTCTCGCTCTCAACCTCATTTCGTCGAAGGAGATCAGCAATCTCTCCGACTGCACCTTCTGTAGCTTGAGGAAGTGATGTCAACCGGATTGCGAGGTAGGTCGGCGGGGTGCCTCCGGTGCTGTCTAGTGATCTTTGCGATGGCATCAGCACTCTGCGTCTCAGCGCCGGCCCTCTATTGGAGATTTAGGAAGGGTTTCATTGCTAGCTCTGCCGCGTCTGCCGGTTGCGCCCCCTGCATCTGCGACTGCCCGCCTCCTCTCTCCCTCCAGAAGATCGCGCCGGGTAAGATCTCGAATTCCATTCCGTAGTCCGATTTTTTGGTGATGATCGTATAGGCATCGATTGGATGTAAATCTGAGCATTACCTGTTGGGATTTTAGGCTTATATTTTGGAAATTGTTGTCCGGATTATCAAATTGGGCTAGATTTGGGGAATTGTTTATAGTGGATAGAATAGGAATTCTTCCCCTTCAAGTGATGGATTGGGATATTTTGTGTGGATGAGATGGCGGATCTCAAGAGACCTTTTCTATAGGGTTTGCTGCTTATTTGGATCTGAGAACTTTATAAGCTAATTAGCAAATTGAGTTCAATTTGCATCTATTTTTGCTTCTTCATGAGTTTTAAATGCTTTTCTTTGTTTTTTATATTTTAGGGAATGCTGTGGACTTCTTGAACTTGAAAACGGACTTCTTGAACCTGAAAATTTCCTATCTTGCTCTGAGTTCGCATAATTTTTTAATAAGATTGAATTTATTGCTAGCCTTGAGAATTTCTTCGGTTTTGTATTAGCTAAATTCTTGAGTGGCTAGTGAAAAACAATTATGGGCATGAGACTCCGTTGATTTGTGGATTATGATTGTGTAATCAAGATATGTTGGTTAGGTAAATTTTAATTCCAGATTTAATGAAGTGATTTACTTATTTTTCTTGCATTTATGTTTAATCCATATGTAGATGATTTCATGGTTTCTTATTTGCCATGTGTATTGGATGAATTTCATCATGTTTTGAACCATGAATACCACCAAGTACAGTGAAATGAGTAAGACTATGAGTTTAGCTTGAAGATCGAAGTTTGCTTGAAATGTGGCCAACTTTTGGTTTAGATGAAACTTGAATATAGTTCAGCAAGCTATATAATGAGCAAAACACAACTCTAATTGATCTTGAATTGAGCAACCTACATAGGATTGAGCTAGGTCGAGACTAGATTGAGCTATATTATAGCTAAACTTGGCTTGACTTGAGATTGGACCGAAACTTCAAGCCGATAGTTTATTAACTTCCCTATGTGAAAGTTTAAAATTGGACTTTTTTCTTGCTGATTGGGTATAATACAACTGATTATTTATGTTTGTTCTATTCTTTTCATGGACAGTATGCTTCATAGATTTATTGACTAGTTTCTTTTTTTTCCGATTGCAGGGCTCTTGAACCTGTCTGTTACAGGTTTGGAATCATCCCAACTACTTGTTATTTAAGAAAGTGAAACTTAAATCTGTCCTTTTATTTCTTGTTCGCTTAAATTGCTTAGCAGATAAAAATAGTTATTTGGCGACTAATACTTTTCTTTTACAGTTATTTAGTAGCTATTTTGTAGTTTCTAGTTGAGTTTAGCTTGTCAAAGGAAAAATTTTACTCACAATAGTTTCTTTCCAATTGGGGAATGTACTTCTACTATGATCTTTCAAGAACTGTTAAGTTAAAAATACAAATTGTGTATCTTTTTGTTGCTTTGCAAACTGCAGTGGAACTAAGTACTTAAAGATGCACTATTAAGGCAAGTGAGAGTAATTTATTTAGTTCTACATTGGATATTTAAGAAATAATTTGTAGAAATATCAAGTGGCTGATAATCTCCCATTGACTTGAGCTTTTGTTTGAAAATATGTTTATTTACTGGTATATTAAGCAAATCTTAACTTTGATGCAATTTGGCCCATAATGCATACCGCCACCCTTCATTCCATTTTTTGCAATATGATTTATTTTGAGGTTACGATCCCTTGTGTCTGCCATTTGAAAAAAAAAATACTTTTCATCGAACTTTTCAGTTGGCACTTAAGGAGGCACTAAATATTGAAAAACAGATTGAACACGCTGGCGCGCACACGATGGAATGATTAATGGTTGATTTTTCCCCATGCTGGTTTAACTAATCTTTGTACACTCAAATGATTGTCTCTTTATTGTTCATTATTCTCCGTATCTGTTGAAAAAAAATCCTCCACATTGTCCTCTTTCATTTCGTTGTTTTTGAGCACCTTTTGCATTTTCCAACTTGAAAATGAAACAAAAAACTTATAGGAGTGGTTCAAGTAGAATGTGGAGAGTACATTTTAGTGAGAATTTGATGTTATCAATCTTCTACATGTTTTTGGTCTAAATCAATAGGATATCTGTGTTTCAAAACTGATATTGCTTGCTTACTATACCTTGTCATTCTGTTCATATATGGTGTCTTACAGACTGTGGTAAGAATGATCCGGAGCTGCACAAGGAGATGGAGAAGCAATTTGTCGATCTCCTCACCGAAGAGCTAAAATTGCGAGAGGTCGTCGCCGATGAGCATGCACACCACATGAATGCTACCCTTCTGGATGCCAAAAGACTTGCGTCCCAGTACCAGAAGGAAGCTGAGAAGTGCAATGCTGCTACCGAGACTTGTGAGGAGGCACGGGAGCGGGCTCAAGCAGCATTCATTAAAGAGAAGAAACTAACAGCATACTGGGAGCGCCAGGCCCGAGCACTTGGTTGGCAAGTTGCTTGACACTGTGGCTCCTTGTGCCAAGATTGGTTTATAATTGAATATAATAGCATGCTCTTACAATTATGTTTGAAGCCAAAGGCTTATTCTTTTTTTTTTTTTTTTTAATTGAGGTGGTTTACTTGTTAAATGGGAACATAGAGATTGTTTTTCTAAATATTCTGTTTATGGCTGTGTTAGTCATGAAAGAAGTAAAAAGCTTTAGCTTTTGTTTTGTTTGACACGATGTTATGCTTCTGTAACATGGATGAGTTTTCTTAAGTTCAATCAGGATGAGTTTTCTATTCATTAGATTTATTTTGAGATGTTTGTAATCTAAATGTTGATTGATTAATCTTGTTTTATATTTATCTTAAAGTAAATTCATTAGAGTGGAAAATCTATTATGACCAAATTTGAGTCGAGATATTTTTATCCAAATTATTTTTGAGATATAATCTATTAGAATAAAATGAAAATATGACGCTCAATAGGACTCAATGAAGAAAAAAGATTCATGTAGCCGACCCCATTTAGTATGATAAAGGCTTCTTGTTGTTGCTGTCGTCTTTGTATTTTCAGTCAAAATTGTGATATATCACAACTCAATTTATTCTACATGGTTTGGTATACATCACAACTCATTTTATTCATTAGGAGAAACCATGCATAGTAGTGTCATACAATCAAATTGAAATGCAACAATCAGAATCCAAACTGTCATAAAGCTTTCACATTACTACTCTTAACCTGTTTTGTTGCCTTTATTTTATGACAAAGCAGATAAAGCAGATAACCACCATAATTTTCTTCACAATGCTCGAATGAAATGGTGGCTGAAAGCAAGCAGACTGTACTTCGGCAATCCAATTCTCACATCCACCCCTCCCACATCTCCTGGCCTCTGCATGAAGAAGGCGACGCTGAACTGGCGAGCCGAGCGGTGACACATAAATGGCTCCACCGCGCCCACAGAAATCCACCTGATGGTACGGCATTCGCTGCCAGTCGGAGACCATTGTGAGCTCTGGCAATGGAGGAAGCTCACCTTGGGGAGCCTCAAGAGCCTTTAGGTAAGCTTGTATGTATTCTTCAGTTACAACTAACTTTGCCTCTTTTATCTTCTCCACAAGAGTTGTAAGTTTTATGTTTATGATCTCACCTGCTGTGGATGCAACAGAGCAGAGCACAAATGCATTGCCTGAGAAGGATTGGGGGAGAGGAGGATCCATCTTGTTTCTGATGTCCACAGTGAATTGGAGGCATACCATCCTCTCCTTTGCAATTCCAAGGGCTTTTGTCCTGGCCTGTAAGTAAAATGTATAATTCAAGAATGTGGCAATGTGATAAATACCTACGAAGATTTGAATTTATTTGTCAAACTTCCATTCAACTCTTTTGTTCTATACTTTGGTATCAGAATATGGAGATAAAAATTGATGTTATAGGATTTGAAAGGAGAATATATAGATTTAAATATGAATAGAAGTTTATAGTTGCCTTTAGATGATGTGTTCTCATGTGGATTAGACTCTGTATATGAATCAATATTTAACATTTCAATTTCATGCAAAATTGCTTGATTAAGAATTTAAAATGTTGAAGTTTTCTCATTCATTTCGTCACTGAAGTAAGTTAATCTTGCCCCTCTTTGATATCATCATCAAAAAGATAAAATATCTAGATATGTTTACAAAATGATCCACCACCAATGCATTTTTACAAATTACTTAGGCTCATCATCTTTAGTGCAAGGGTGCTTAATCAATGAGCTATTATATAGCTTCTAAGCTCAGTTGCCTCTAAGTAAACTTTGATGATAATTATTTATGGGAGTGTAACATATGATATATGTGTTCTCATGTAAGGAAAAAACATTAAGATACATCAAAAAATTTGGCTAATCTAATATTTAATAATTAAAAATATTTATTAATGTTCAAATATCAAGTGCCAAACACTTATCGATTGGTTTAAGTTTGTAGTTTATAAATAGGTTTGACAACAATTATAACAGACTCAACTTTAGCTCCATTTTGATTAATGCACCTTAACAAGTGTGATATATCATAAATGAATTGGTCTTTTTATTTAAAATATCATCATAAAAATAAATTTTTCATGCATATTCTTTTTAAATAGAAAGATACTTAACTATCCCTCTACATATGAAAAGAAACCGACATGTTAGGCATGTTAGGTAGTAGATGTTGGATAATTATGAGATTGACTTCTTGTAATTATTATATGATTGTGGGTTGAAGAGCCTCGTTAACATATACCTAAAAATGTACTTTTAATATATGTATCAATACAACTATATTTTATTTGAATCTTTTAGGTTTTGTTTAAATTTGGGAATTGAGTCTTCTTATATGTTCAATTTACTATAATTAATTATCCATACTTGTACATCCAAATATGACTGCATACTTAAATAAGGCTTTTTTCAAGAACATAATATAAGGGTCAACAGGTCTTATGGGCTTCGAAGGCTTATATATGAAGATAAGGTCATTCATAAGTTAAGCCCACCAGTCAAAGTGGTCGAGCAAAGCCCACTTGTTAAAGTGGTCGACCTACGAGTAACAATTCCAATGTCATTAACTACTATCGAAGCACTATGGACAAGCAATTGACATCAAAATATTCCCAACAATCCAAGCATTGGTTTCTTGCTTAGGTTTTGAGCAACTCATTTTCCAACATACCTTCAAGAGCAACAAAAGTGCAACTCATACTTGTGTGAAGATGACCGTAGATTGTGATTTTATATGACCAATGTTAATGATCATGATCCTCTCTTTTTGTTTTTGCAAGAGGATAAAGCTCATTTTGTATGTGTCAATGGGGCAGAATTTTGTGTACTCGTTTGTAATCTTTTCATTTTTTTATGCACACATTTCAAGAAGTGGTTAAGCTAAGCCCAACTGTCAAAGTGGTCAAGCAAGTCCAAGGCAAATGAGCTGTCGGAACAAAATAATCATTACTTCAGGATAAATGTGTCAATTTTTATTTATGGCTCCTCTCGACACCTGAATAACAATATTTTAATCAAGACACTGAAGATAGACATATTAATGTACGTAATATAATTTTATATTTATTTTCTCTCATGTAAAAAAGGGAGATGAGAGGGAGCTTCAAGGGGAATGGGATCGAGGAATATCCCTTCCTCCCTCCCTCATTATCTAGACATAGAGATCCTTTCTTTGAGCCATTCTTGGCAGCCCGGGGTCCCTGAGAAAATATAGACTGGGCAACATGAGCTCTAGCAACATCCATCATCTTCTTTCATACATTTCTCATAAAAACATAGTCTTTGCAGTGTTATATGAACTCTTGAACAATGCAGAATCTTACGTCCTAAAAGGATTTAACAATTCTATTCTGGAGAGAACTTCTAATTAAATATATCATTCAAGTTGGACTCTTTATGAGTATTCATTCTTACAAGTGGGCTACATATTATTTTTCACTCATAATGCTTCATGTTTAAGGCAAGGATATTTGGAATAAAGGTAATCCTTATAAAAATTTTATGATTTGATCATCCATGATATTCTTAGGTGGAACTAATCAGAGAATTAAGGAGCATCGGGTGTTATAGCCTTAGAAAAAAGAACATGTAAATTTATTTTTATTTATTCTAAGTTAAAAAGCTAATTGTTACCATACATTGGCTTTAGTGAACCTTAGATATGACAATTGAGTGCCCAATTAGCAACCAAGGGTTATCATATTAAAGACAATCTCTAAAACATTGAGGATGATAATCTAATAAGGGTAGGAGCTCTCATGATGATATTATATTTCTCTTTGACATTAAAGGCTTTCTCTACGAAATTGGTTATCATGAGGTGCACTTTGTACTCGCCAATTAACATATGAGGTGAAATGGTTTCTTGAATCATTCTCATGATTTGATCATCCATGATATTTTTAGGTGAAATCAATCAAAGTGTTAAGGAGCCTTAACTGTTATAGCCTCAAAAAAAGAGAACATGTAAATTTTTTTTCATTATCTAAGTTAAAATGCTAACTATTACCATACATTGGCTTCAGTATTAAATTGGATATGATGGTTGAGCGCTCAATTAGCAACCAAGGGTTATCATATTAAAGACAATCTCTAAAACATCAAGGACAATCTAATAAGGGTAGGAGCTCATATGGTGATATAATATTTCTCTTTGATAGAAGAGGCTTTGTCTATGAAATTTGTTATCATGAGGCTTTGTACTCTCCAATTAACATATGAGGTTAAATGATTTCTTGAATTACTTTTTAAAGCTAGTTAATGGAGGGTTAGTCTTGCCATGGATCAAAATCTTTACATAAAAGTAAAAAAAAAAAAACTTTTTTTATTTTTTCATTTTCTATGTTCTTAATTTTTGTAATGAGTTTTCCAAAACTAATTTGAATTTTAATAATATTGGAACACATTCAAATTCTCTTAAAATAACATTAAAAAATAGATTGTAAATGAGCCTATAAGAACCCAACACTACATTGGCATTTTTTTTTAATTTTTTTTGTCAAGATTGAATAAGGTCTGAGTTTCATATCTTGTCCAAAACTTTTTATTAATGAATATAGCAAATTTGAGATGCAATCAAGCTTTAATTAAGCTTAATAATAATTTATAGGAAGCTAATAATTTAAGAAAGATTTTGATACATTTCCAAAAAACAAGCTTAATCAAACATGAATCTAAATGCACATTAGGACCGATAGTTCTAGATACATAAGTACCTATACTCCAATTCCAATGAACTATCTTAATAAGACAATCCGGCTTACAAACATAGTTAGATCTAAGTCCAATTGAGCCCCAGGTCAAGCACTTAAAGCATTTTAAGAGGTTTTAAAATATACATTGGGGGGTGGGGGTGTGGATGAATTCAACGAGCCCAAGATAGCTTAATTACAATATCATTAAGACACTTGATTACTCATAAAACTTCATCTTATCAGAGTGATTACAACTCTAGTCGTTTGATGCAGTGATCCAAATTCATGTAGTATTTATGAAGGATATCAATCACTAAGGGCCCGTTTGGGGAAGCTTATAAGTGCGGGCGGGGTTTTGAAAACGCCGCCCTACCCTT